CAATATGCTGACTCTGTAAACCGCTTAGAGAGGGCTGAAAGCCCTATGAAGCGGTATATAAGTCTAACTGCTATTGCTATTGCTATTGCTAATAACACCAGTGGAACTGCAAAAAACTGCACTACTTGGAACATCATACATCTCAAGAAGATATATCTTTATCAGTTGATTGAGTTTCATGTTTAATTAACAACAACAACAACAATAAATTTCATGAGCATGAATATATTTTGAAAAGTCATCTAAACTTTCTTTTGTGAAAGGCTGAAAGCATTCAGATAGGAAATCTCTATGTAGATAAAACAAAGAACATAGAATGAAATGCAGAACGTAGAATAATTAGTCTTCTAGTCTAACTTCCTGCTCAAGCTGGAGACCCTATAGCATTTTGGACAAATAGCTATTCAGACTGTTCTTAAAAGCCTTCAGTGATGGAGCACCCACAACTTCTGGAAGCAACCCATCCCACTGATTAATTGTACTCACTCAGGAAGTTTCTCCTCGGTTCTGGATTAGATCTCTCTTTAATGATCTTCCACCCATTATTTTTTGTCCTGCTATGAAGTACTTTGGATAAAGAAACTAGCTAAAGGACATGAGAACTTCCTCAATTATTCAAAACTAGCCCAGTGCTTATACTTATATTTCAGGGTAACCATCATTTTGTTCTAATGTGGAAGAGTGGAAACCCATGAGGAGTTCTGTTCCTCTCTAGCTTGGTTGTTTTCTTGCAGATGTTTCATTAGCCAAATTAAGTAATAGCACCAGTGCTAGTTACCTATGAGAAAACAACCAGGCTCAGAGAGCACCAAGGAGCCTTCATTTCAACCCAGAGCTACAAATATTCTCCTTTAGTAGAAAGCCTATAAGGATGGGTTATGATTTAGCGCATACAATCCAACAGTCGTGGCTGATTCAGCCAAATATGCCTTACTTTGAGGTGTGGAAATCTTGCCATTGGATTGTGGAGGTCTGCAGATGGAAACCTTATCAAAAGGGCTCCTTTTTGTTTAGAGCCAGTTCAGTTCTAAACCAGTGGCAGTGCCAGGGTTGGATTCAGCCGGTTTGCACTGGTTCAGGCAAACCGGATGTTAATTTTGTACCCGGTTTGCTGAACTGGTTGTTGCAAGGACTGGCTGGCCCCACCCCTCCCTTGCAGGAATTTCACTTGGCCCATTCATCATGCCAGGTAAGTGGAGGACCTGCACAGAGACTCTGGGAGGGCGAAAAATGTGCCTCCTGGAAGTCCGGAAATGCATCCATTTCCAGCCTCGGGAGGCCCTCCGAGCCTGGGGAAGGCTGTTTTCCCCCTCACGGAGGCTCAGGAAAAGCCTCTGGAGCCTGGGGAGGGCAAAAAACAGGTGTACCAGAATACCGGAAATCCAAAAATGGGCCTTTTTCATCCTCCCGGAGGCTCGAAAAAACCCGCTGGAACCTGGGGAGGGTGAAAATGCCCCCCCTCATGGTGGGGGCTAAGGAGGCTAAGTAGGCTACGCCCACCATGGCCACGCCCCCCCAATCAATTGGGCAGAGAACCGGTTGCTAACATTTTTCAATCCCATCCCTGGGTAGCGCCATGTTCATTTCCCCAACCAGACACATGATTGTTGTTTTACTTCTACTGAAAACCCCCTCATGAAGCATGGGTAGAACAAATGTGGTTGGTTTTCTCTGACATGCATCATTTAAGTGGAAGAAACAGCTCCCTGAACGAGATGGAGAAGTAGTAGAATAGTGGCAGGACTCTTGCTACCTACAGCTGTAGTATTGTCTACGTTGCTGGTGAAAAATGCCTAAACTGAATCATCGTTTTGAATGATTTGTAGTCAGTGAAGGCAAAGATGCGTTTCCAGCTGGATGTGTTGAGCTCCTATGTAGCAACCTGCAGATTTTGGCCCCTTAACATTCAACGTCTGGTGGGGGGGGGTTGCTAGGGGGACGAACAGCTGCTTCTAAAAGAAACCAGAATGTTAATTTTGGCACGCATGTCAGGATTTAAGCAAATAGAACACTGCTGTCAGGCAAAGGGGGTTATTTATTAATTTAGGTCCTTGCTGTAAGGCATTGCATTCACTCTCA